CAGGAGTGAATATCGGTCAAGCGTTTTAAGGTCAACGAGTCGGAACAGCCGCCTGAAAAGACGGATAGTCTTGGGAGTCGCGGACATTGTACGAGAAAGGGGACAACATTTGTTGGCCGTCCGCCACAAACGTTTTAGTTCACAAAAAGATGCTCGATTTTAACCTACGATATTCGTTTGACTAAGAGAAACGTGTCTTCGAAAGCGCTGCAATTCGGCTTTTTTGGAAAGGGTTATAGTGCTCCCTGAATTACTAGGGTTTTTCGCCACTTGTTAAGGCCTTTCTTGTTGGTTTTGTTGGGTTTTTCTGGCATTTAGCAACGATAAGCGTACCTATCACATGCCACTTAGCAGTGAACTTATCCGCTCAGTCGAGGTCAACAGTCTCCAAGCGTGTGTGAAGACTTTATGCAAGAAAATGATTTCTGTGTCGGACAGCCAACAATAGTGTCCCTCTCCCTTGTTCAATGCCCGCTGCCGCAAAATTAATGTGACTTTGAGACTTGCTGACTTGAAGATCCTCCACCGACATCCCCCCGCGTCCAGACATTTGGGGCCACTCGAACACGCCACACCTCGGCCAACGCTGCGAATTCATCTACGCGCAACAGATCAATCGCACACTACTTGAACTCGCTTCATAATTATGTGAAAGCAACTAACTCCGCTGCCTCTCATTCCCAGGCCTGACTGAATGCAGCCCCGGTTTCTCCAGTGGCCACTGCTGCTTCAGACAACAACTCAGGGTTCTGTGCACAATAACAAAAATTGCGGTCATCTGAGCACAACCACGACTTATATTACTACACTTCTCAGCATCACATATTTTAACCATCCGTTATTTTTTTAACTGGTATCGGGGGCAAACAGATTAGCTTCTGGGCCAAGACCCTACAGGGTAAACTTTGGGGTCAGTGTTTCTCCTCAAGCCATTCTATTATCAAGCTAGCAACGTGCGTTTGTACTAGAACCACGGCTCGGTATCAGTTTTCGCTGCGCCCGATCCAGTAAATTAGGTCCTAATGTGGTGTAGCTGCCTCCAACATTTTGTGCTCGAGTAATCATCCCTCCTCATTCATCCCTTTGTATTTTGGGTATCGATGCCATAGACACTGATTGCCGTGGACTGAATGGCCCGCAAAGTATCTTAATACAGACCTATGGCATCAGTAAACCGTTTATGGTGAGAAGTTACTGTCATGCAACTCCTGATGTCAGAGGCCCTCTCGGTGCTGATTTGTATCAGCAATATTCAGGCTAATGTCCGATAAGTTAGCACTAATTAATCAGATTAACAAGAATGCAAAGTCTATTACACCCGTACTGCATTTTCCTCACCCTTTATTTTCTCAGGTTCGGCGGCTGGCGTAGGCAGCGGTGACTTCCACATCTACCGAGGACTTCGTAGACGAGAATATGCCAGATTGGAATTCATCGAAGAGCAAAAAAAGCAGGTTACTTCTAAATCTTTTCTAATTGGCCTGTTTCTCAGCAAGCAGCAGATGAAGAATTCCAGAAATTGCGCGAAGAAAGGATAAAAGAATTTGAAGCAAAAACCGCAAAAAAGCGACAGAAGCGCCTAAAGAAAAAGGAGAGGCGAAAGAGGAAAAAAGGCGATAACGGGTCACAAACAAGTGAACACAGCGATGGAACAGACGATGAAAATTCCACTGAGGAAAATCCTACGAGCGAGGACAAGAAGGAGCAGTAGCGAGCAAAGCAGTTGTCCTCAGGATCTGTT